TCACCCGGTGCCAGCAGAGCAGCCGGGCTGCCCCCAGTCCCCTCCTCTGCTCACGCTACCGGTGCTACTGCACTAATCCACTGCAGCGCTAATTGCGGCGACCCTCCCTCCCATTAACAGGGCAGGGGGGTCAGAGCCCCCCAGGAGGGCAGCATCGGCCGGGCAGGTGCCATGTCTGAACCCACAGCTGGGCGCCTGTCCTCAGGGATGGCAGGGGGGCCGTTTTACAGCACTCCAGGGGCTTTCTCCGTTCAGGAAAAAAAAGCGACACAAGGTTAAAACCAGCCCTTTGGGAAAGGATTGTGTTTATTCACCACCGGCAGAAGTCAACTGGCTTATTGCTTACAACCAACTTCATTTTTTCCAAAGAAACCAAGCGCCCCCGCAACCAGACACTGTTTCACAGAGCCCTGCACCAAGAGAGATTTACCTTGTACACGTCCTTTATCATCCTCACTTTATGTCCTGAGAACGGCCCTGCTCAGCACCGCTTCCTGCCCTGAGACCTTATGCTACTGACGTGGCTTTTGCCATTAGTCTAGTTAACGGACAACCTATCAAATGCCAAAGGTTATCACCTGTGCGTGTTGTACACATTATTTGTTTGAAAGTCTTGGGATCCACAGGGCTCACTGAGAAGATGGTCAGCTGCAGCTGACAGCCATGGAAGACAAACTGTTCAGCAAGCGGCTCCGCTGCAGCCGGCTGTGAGGGAACACTTGCTCTGTACGAGTCGGTCCCGACAAACTCTATCAGAAGGTGTGCACGCACCATCACAGTGCATCAGGCTGGTCGCTGCATCTGGGGAAAGCAGCGGTCTTGCTCTAGACTCATGCAAAGAGCTCCAGGACAGAGGGGCGGACACGCGAGTGTTTAGTCACCCTGGTCCCAGCACAGCATTCCCAACATGAAAGCCCTGCCAACAGCGGGGCAGGAGGTCTCACCCCAGGCTGGGGCCAACACTCGCAACTCCCTTCTCCATCCAAACCCTTGCCACCCCTAATTGCAGTTTGCGATGAAGAAAGCATGGATGCTGTGTGCTGTTAGAGACCAGCGATTCCCACTGTAAATCCCAGCTGTATGAAGCAGGCAGCTCTGCCAGCCACCCCTCTGATCTGCCCAGTAAGCCCCTTTCCAGGCTAGAGCCCAAACTCCAGTGAGAGTTAGTCACGCTGCCTAGAGTGACTCTGCCTTCCCCAGGACACCTCCGCATTACTCAGAAGCACCTGCCTCGTCCTACATCAACGCTTCAGTGTTCAAAGGATACGTCATGCAGGAGCTACAACCAACTGAGAGAACAGAGACACCTCCCAGCAGGGCCCAGTTTGGTCCAGGGCAGCTACTCCCAATCCTGCCAGTCACAGCACCATTTGCCAAGAGCCCCAGCACTGACAGAGCCACTATCTCCATCAACAGGTCCATAACGATCGATCCACAAGATTAATGTAACTAATACAGAGCGTTGCAGGGGGGACATGGGCTCTGTGCCAAAGCTGCAGTGAAACAACCCCAGGCTCGAAGGCATCACCTCCCATCACGCAGCTCCACGGTGGCCAAGGTGCTGCATGAGGAGAGGAGAGGGCAGAGCTTGGTTAAAGCCAGAAGGCACTTCGCCTTGAACAAAGTCCTTTCCCAGACAGAAAGACATCACCGGGACAACCCCACTCAATGTGACCTGCGGAGCAGCCCAGCCAGGACCCCGCTGGGGAAGCCCTCACTCAAAACACCCTGTCAAATTCAGTCTGGTTGGTGGCAGCTGGGTTCCTGCCCTGGTTAGCCGGCTGCTGGGGCATGTGCCCACCCCTCCGGCGTGGTGGGGCCAGGTACTCGAACATGGACTGGTTGTGGGTGGACAGCATGTTTTTGAGGTCCGAAGGCATGGGGTCTGACCAGAAGAAGTCGTGGTTCAGAGCATCATCACTGTCGATCCGCTGAGCGGGATCCAGCACCAGCAGCTTGTCGATGAGGTCCAGTGCATAGGGGTCCTTAACATAGGCTTTCAGGCGATCCTTCACCTTGCGCTTCTGGCCCTTGGGGAGATCCAGCTTTTGGTACAGCTCGTATTTATCCACATTCGGCCAAACCTGGGAAGGGGCAGGAAGGGAGGGTTGGGAAGAAATAGTTATGGACAGGAGAGGACAAGCCATTTTTGATGCTAACACCCTCAGGCAAACCAGGGCGAGGTCTGCTGAGAGAACAATACTGTTTTATAAGCTCCAAGCCAGCAGACCTTGTTCCCACAGCATGAAGGAGGCACTAAAGAGTGCACTAAAGTCTGGGAGACACACGGACAAGTCAGGACGGAGCCCTCCTGGTGTGGAATGGCACGCAGGATGGTCCAAGATTTCTGGTTCTCCCACAAAAGAGCTACTAGAGAGCACAGCTCAGGCCAGCTACAACATCCAGAAAGGTAAAACGATAACTTATTGCTAAATAACATCCTGGATGTACGTGGTACCTTTTATCCTTAGAAAGCAAAGCCTGCTGCAATCACTAGCGCTTACCTCAACCCTGATCAGGGAGAGACAAAGAAAGTGCCTTCAGTGTAGGCAGATAGTGTATGTAACAGGCATCAGGCCTCTGCAGCTGCCTGCACAATACACCCCACTAGATTACAGTCCAGGCCAAGAGATCCCCCAGCTCGATCCCCCACAAGAGGGCAGGACAAGCTGCCACTAGATAAGATGCTGAGAAAGGGCCAAGCTAATGCCACAAATCACCAGCCAGAATTAAAGAGGCTTTTCAAGATGACCAGTGCACAGCACCTGAGACAAACTCCGCAAGACAAAACAAAAATCCCTTTGTTGAGCAGAAATTCAGAGGGTGTTTCTCTGAGAGACAACCCCCAAACACAGCCTAGAACAGATTCCTACAAGTAATGTTCTGTTCTTTCACACTCGGAGCAGCTAGCATCCTCTCCGGGCTCAAAAACAAAGACACGACTTGCCCCTCCAAAAGGAAGGTCTAGGAGGCCAGGTTCACCCTCTTATGTTTAGGAGGTTGAACACAAGTAACATGACAGCTGTAGTATACACAGAGCAGCAAGAAAAGCACAGCATCCCGCTGTGCACTCAGCTCCCAGGATGCAATCAGCATTTGCAGAAGTTTCCTCAGCCTCCCTACCAGCAGGAAGCACACTCCAGTGCCAGGAGCACGCAGCAGCCAGCACACAGGGCAGGGAAGAGGCCCAGGAGCGCCTGGTCCTAGTCCCTTCCCACACCACTGCTTCACAGCCCTCCACAGCTTGCCCATGCTCTCGCCCTCACCTCCGGCGTGATGGATCCGCAGAGCTGGCTGATGAGTGTGAGCTGGTGCTGCTCTGTGTTCCCCTGCATGATGGGGCTGCGGGTCCACATCTCTGCCATGATGCAGCCTGCACCCCAGAGGTCAATGGGGGGACCGTAGTCCCGCTCCCCTAAAGGGAGATGCCGTGTTAGTCACCTGGGGGAACGAGAAGGGCAGAGAAGCTGGGAGAGCCCATCCCCTCCTACCTAGGAGCAGCTCTGGTGGCCGATACCACAGAGTCACCACCCGGTTGGTGTAGCGGTTTGGCTGGCTGTTCTTAGCCAGGCTGAAAGCTCGAGCCAGCCCAAAGTCCGCAAGCTTCAGGACTCCATCCCGTGTTATCAAGACATTCGCAGCCTTCATGTCCCGATGCAAGATCTGTACAAGGACAGACATCGAAAGGTTAAGCCATTAAGGTGACCCTCCTCGGGCACCTGGTGCCAGCAGGGCACTCAGACTCCGGAGGTGGAGGACAAGGAGGGATTTCCCGTCAGCCTGTGCTAAGACACCCACTCCTTGCAAGGCCATGGAGAACAGGGTGACCTCAGAGCACAGCATGGATCCAGCCCGTTACCTTGTTCCTGTGGATGTAGTAAAGTCCATTCAATAGCATCTGCATAACTTTCTTGATCTCAGAGAGTGTGAACTTGACGTGGGCATTGCTGAGAAGGCCAGCCAGGTCGTGCTCACAGAAGTCAAACACAAGGTAGATACTGCCCTTGCAGCGGTTGTATGGAGATGCTACAGGAGAGGCAAGGAGGGACTGTCAGCAAGGGACTCCTAACCCTGTCACAGCTCCTCCTGACCTGCAGCAACCCTGCTGCTTGCACAGTGCTTGCTAGACAAAACCTTACGGCACAGGAACACAAAGAGCCAGAGACACCCTGCAAGGCCTCAAGATCCTTCATAAACGGGTACTAAGACAGCTCAACTAGCAACAGAAAAACAAGGGATGAGGATCAGAGTAGTGAATGTCATCAGACAGATGAGAAAAGGGCCTGAAAATCTTTGAAAGATTCGTTTTGTGATGTTCTGTGCACCTAACGGCTGTGGGGTTTCCTCCCTGCAAGCTGTTGCCAGTAGGCGCACATACTGCTAGCTGCCAGCTGAGCGCTGTCACTGATTGCATCAGTAACAGAGGAGGCACCTGCAAAGACAGCCGCAGGAAAAATGCAGAAACAGAGAAAATCTCTCTAATATAACACTAGAAAGTGAGGTTTACTACAACCTCAAACAGTATCTACGAAAACAGGCTGATCCGGATCAAAATTGTTTAAAACTCCAACGCTAAATTGCAATTTTAAATCAACAACAGTAAACCTTAAATGAAGCAATCGATTTCAATCTTGTTCCTAGAGCACACACGCAAAACATTATTAAAAAGAAAGGCAGATTTTTATCAGCTGTAATCAGCAAAACCTGCTGATCAGCAGCTCCAACCGGAAAATGACAGCTAAGCTCAGCCTCCACAGAAACACACCACTCTGCCAGCCAGGAGGGTGCCTGCTAGACTAGGTTTGCAGTTCCTTACACCGATATGGCCCTGACTGCACCTTTCCAACATAAAAGAAGAAAAGCTTCAAGTTTGACAACAGTAAATGGAACATTTTTGCTTTACTGGAAACTGAGGTCAAGGTGGATTCAGATGAAAACCGGAATTCAAACAAACCCCAAACAATTGACATGTCTACAAAAATATTTACCTTAGGTATGCCAGACATGCAATCATCACAACTTGTTTAATCACACAATGAATTAAAAATTAACTTCTTGTCAGTGTTTCTACTCATACCTGTTCAGACAATAATTTACACACAGTGGAGTACTGCAGTAACTTCAAGTTCCCAATCTTAGGCCAGGGATTTCTATCAGTTCAGTGACCGGACTTTTTTAAAAACACCATCACCAGATACATGCTACTTTTGTTTTTATTTAACTGAAGTGACTGACTAGAGAATGGCAGGCTTTAACATCAGCTGTCCTTTTCAGAACTGTTTTTCCAGTACAAATGCATATAAGAGAATTATATATAAAAACTAGCGAATGTTTTTAAGCAGTTTCACTGGAAATGGAGCCAAGCCAGGTGCACAGAGCATGCGAGTCACACAGCAGAGGCACGCTGCGTGAGGTGGAAGCGTGGCTCAGAACTGCCCCGTGTGAAGTCCCAGCCCTCACAGCACGAGCGGTTACTGTCACTTGCAGAAAGAGACGTCGAGCGAGTCTCCAGCTGGAGCTGTGTCATCAGCTTGGAGCTGCTGCGAATTGTCATAAGCCAACTGAGAGGGACGGCTCCGGCTCCTGACAGGGACTGACTGTGCACAGCCATGACATCAGCTCCAGGCTCAGAACCCTCTACTTCAAAGTCTCTCCAGCACTGGTTTATTTAAAGCCTCTCAGACAGGAGTTTTCCAACACAGGCAGGATTCACCAACTTGGCACAGGCATATCCTACCGGGACTGACAACAGCTTTTTCTAGCCAGGCTGCACTAACATCCTAACTCATTTAGAAACTGCTTCCCAAGATAAGTGTACCATCATCCCACATCACAGGCAGGAACAAAGGCCCATGCTCAGCTAGAGAACCCCACTCCCAGCACAAAACACCAGCCAGCTCAGTAGCAAAGGAAGGCAGAAAGAAACTGACAGCCAATGCAAGAGAGAACCCCGCAAGCTACCTTTGGTCCTGCAGATTTCAATGAGGTTCACCACATTCTCATGTTTGAGGAGCTGGAGGATTTTAATCTCTCGCAAGGCGGTGATGGGGAACTGGAAAGGAGGAAGAGAGAACGGGGTTTAGGAGCGCAGGAGACCAGGCCACCTGGTCAGCTGCCAGAGCAGCTTGGCAGGGGACCTGCTTGAGCAGCACCATGACAAGTCACTGAAGGGCAATCAGAGCTTTAAAGAGAACACCAACGCTCGGATTGCCAAAATGTATTCACCATCAGGCCACCACTGCTGAGAGAGATTCTGCCATGAGACAGAGGTATTTGGGTGGTGCCAAGATGGGCACACAGACACCCCTTCCTCCTATCCTCACCTTGCATGTTTGTAACAGGACATGGTACAGCCCGGCTTGAGCTGCAGAGTAGCCTCCCCGGCTGCTGCCTGCACTGCTTATGCTGTTACTCTCTCCTCAGCACGTCTTTGCACACCCCTGAGCACGTGCCTTTCACATGTTACCCAGATCCTCCATGAACAACAGCCAGCGTGGAGCCCTGCGCCGGGGGTAATGAGGTTTTGCACAGGAGGAGGAACGTGAGGGCAGCATCACCTCCCAGCAGCCGTCCTGCACAGCCCAGTCACCACACAGCTACAGCACCACACAGCTGCCACATGCCTTTGCAGCTGAGAAGGTGATAACAGGCCGTACACCTCAGCTGGGCAACCACAAGACCCAACATTATCACGGTATCAGCAGAGAGGACAAAAGCCACACCCTTACAGGTTCAGGCACATTACAGCAGTAAATATTGTTAAAGGACTGAGTGAAAACGCATCTCTGCCATCCCAAAGATTAGCTTTCACCTATGAACACGGCAATCCAGGCCTTCCCAAACACAGCCCAGCCACGCTCCCACACTTACCCCCTCCTTCTCATTTTCCATCAACACTTTCTTCAGCGCTACTTTCTTGCCTGTCTGACGATGTTTGGCTTTGAAAACTTCCCTGTAAAAACAGAAAGAAATCCATGAGCAGCACAAGGAAGAAGGGAAGGAGCCAGATACTGCCGACCAGGACCAAACAAGACACACTAGCGTGCCACACAGCCAGCTCTGTGCTCAGCCACTAACCAGCCCAGCTACAATTTGGGCCAAAGACCCTCAGGACCGGCTGAGCCAGCCCAGAGCCCACAGCTCCCACAGCCAGTTGCACGTTTTGGGCAAAGTTGCAGGTCCCCACCCCGACTGTCTCCAGGGTAACTTGCCTCGGCCGGAGTCTGAGACAGAGCGGGGCCTCGGAGTGAGAAAAACCGGGCTCGGGGGCCAGGCTGGTTCCCAGCGGCCAGAGGGGAGACTGGGGA